TAAGAGATATTTTTCATTTATTTTTATTCTAAATAGTTATTTGGACATTGCACAAGACAAATTTTGTCTCATTTCTATATTAGAATGAAAGATGTTGAACATTTATCCATTATAAATATTTTTAAGATTTTATTAATATATGTTTTCCGAGACAAACCTAATAATTCTTGTGATTAGGGACGGATACGAGAGGGGACGAGCATGGGCCCCGACCCTCCCTCTTTCAAAATTTATTTACTTATATATGTTATATTTCATTTATATATTATAAAAAAAATTATATTAGAAATAGTAAAAAAAGAAAAAAAAGTCTCAGGATCTACCTCAAAGTTACGGTGTATCGGTTTATATATTATAGTATAATAAAATTATTATATTATATAATATTATAAATAAAAAAGTTAAAAAAGCTTATCTAAGAAATTAACATTTTGACTTCTGTCGTAACTCGTAAGCTAACATAATTGGGTAGTTCTATATTTTTTACATTTCATTTCCAAGTTCCAACCATTTTTATGCAGGTGTGTTTGGTTTCACGTTTGAAGGCTATAAATCCACGTTTACTTGAACGATGAAGTTGTAACTTCTGCGTTGGACCTATCTACATAAGGATTTCAATGTGTTTCCAAACACACTAAACTAGTGTGTCATTCTCCCGTTTGAATATTTATTATCAAAGTTTACTTTTTTTTTTGCCCCCCGTTTAAATTATTTCTGGATCCGTCCCTGCTTATGATCTATCACGAAACCTATCAGATGTCATTATCTCACCCATATCTTTCATTTTAATGTTGTTAGATAAAATTTTCTTAATCTTACTTAATAGATCAATATCATTAATTTCAAGTAAAATATAATCAAAATACATAATCACAACTATAAATATGCTTTCATTGACATTCCGATATATACACCAATTAACGATAAAAATATTACAAAAACTTACTATACTTGAAACAAATTCTACATATACAATTATTAATATTAAAACAAAATATAGAAAATAAAATTTACAACAAATATTTAATTTATTGATAACAAAAATCATATTTTAAAAATTATCTATCAAATCCAATGATTTCAAACACAAGTAAAATAGGTAAAACTTTCATATAATCAGCGCACTAATATATTATTTTCACAATTTAATTTTTCAAATTGAACTAAAATAGTAGTTTATTTATTTTTAATTATACTTGAATTTTTTGAAGTTTTGTTCTGACTATTAACACATGATTTAATATGTTTAAAATTTATAGAAAGGTATAAAAGAAAAAGTCATTAAATAAGTTATGGTACGTCACAGTTTGGGTCTTCTAACAATTTATAATTAATAAAAAATAGTGAAAAAGAGTAGGTTAGAGTGTATGATTTTTCAAAATGTTGGTAATTCTTTAGTGGCCTATAAGCGATAAAACCATTAAAAAATATCAATTACTTTTTTAATACAAATTCTATTATTTACTTTTAGGAAAAAAATATAGATGGTAAATTTATGTCAAGAATAAGAAATATTAATTATTATTATTATTATTATTATTATTATTATTATTTTATTAACATTATTAGAATGCAAAATACATTATTTCAATGTTAACATATTAAGAAAATGAAATTACATAATTACATATAATTTGTATTATAAATTAAGAGTGTATTTAAATTTTCATCAGAGTTATACTAAGATTAAAAGTGTATTTAAAAGTATGCTTAAATTAAGTGTGTTTACATATGTAAAAAAAGATAAAAAATCAAACTGATCAAAATATTATAATTTAATAATTTTGGAATTTAAAATTTATTTGAAAATAATTTCTTTATTATAAAATATTTTTTTTAAATTGATACGTGGATGAATAATGGCGGGATCAGCGTCCCTCACAAAGTGTGTATACATCCCCTATTATTTTTATAAGACTATTTCCTAATTTTTCATTTCTTTCTCATGTGACAAAAACTGAAGGATTTGGTTTTAAAAATAAAAACTCCCTCTCTAATTAATTATTAGGTGGAAAGTAATTAAGTGAACTAAAAAATTTATAGTTAGTTTTAAAGATAATTTTAACTTAAGACAAGTTTAATACTATGACTTAAATTAACCATTTTATTTTTATTTTACCAGGAAAAAATATTTCCCAAAAAAAAAAAAAACTAACCAATTTTATTGGAGCATCTTTAATATTGAGGAGTTAATTAAATTAATTTTTTAAAGTTAAGCAGGACTGATTAACAGTTTATTCCTTAAAATAAGAATCGGAAATGAGTTGCTTAAATAAACAAGGTTACTTAACTGAATTGTAAAAATAAAATCAGTCACAAAAATTATTAGAGTAATTTTTTTGTCGTAAAGTTATCAAATTTTTAGAAAACAGTATAAAATCTATATATTCAAAATAAACAACCCATTTTGTATTTTTCATTTTTAAGATTTTGTTTTAAAACATTAAGAAATTGAATAATTTTTCTTATTTGGAATAAATAATAATGAAAAATTATATTTTATTTTTATTCTATATCATAATATATATATATATATATATATATATATATATATATATATATATATAAATTGATTAATATTTAAGTACAAAATAGGATAAAATTGAACAAATTATTATTGTTATATTCAATTTTAAAATAATATAACCAAAACCAGAAAATATTGTAAAATTTGAAAATTAAAAAATACAAACAAAATAAACAAGTAAAACTTCTAATTAAAATTTTTTGAAAGAGTTTTTTTTTTTTCTTGTATACGTATTCTAGGATAATGAGTAAAGAATATAAAGTAAAAAGTTAGATTCGTGGTTCCGGTTAACATATAAATTAGTAACTGTGTACTGTTTTTCTTTTTAATTTGTTGCAAATGAAAAATACTATTATGTAGTTAGCACTAATTTATCAACCACTAATCATTAATTAATAAAATTCTCATACTTAATTAAGTCTATGTTTGCATATGATTAGAAGAAGAAATGAGAACATCAATTTGTAGAAATTTGATGATTTGAGATGCTTTGTATAGAAAGTTGACTGGATCTTATATTTAATTTGAACTTCAACTTGTGTTAATAAAATTAAAATTAGGTCAAATGTTTTTTATATTTTTATTATCCTTTAATTATTAATTATTATATAAAATAAACAAGCATAATTGATTATAGATTATAGAAGAGGAAATAATCATTTTATGTAACAAAACATAATCAATTATCTCATATTTACATAATCAATATTATTTTAAGTATGTAAAGGACAAAATACAAATTAATTATGATTTAATTACAAACTTCAGTTTTGTTACTCAAATAAATACAATTATGTAACACCTCATGTAAAATATTCTAAATATAATATATTAATTTATATTATTGAGTAATTTAAATATATTTATAATAATATATATTAAAAAATATATTATTATTATCAAATTATTATAATATATATATATATATTAATTTATAAAAATAAAAGAGGAAGAAAAATATTAATTCTTAATTTTCTTTTAAAAAATAATTATTAATAATATATATATATATATATATATATATAAAAGTTAACTTATCTCAAAAATAAGTTTTATCCATAGTTACAAAATTTAATAGCTTAATTAAATAAATTAGAAAGATAAATAATTGGTTACAAGAGGGATTCATGATATGAAAAAAAGGAGGAGGAAGAAGAAAAAAAAGGTGGAAAATTTTGATATACCATCTCAAATTTGTTTAAGATATTTATTTGGTAATAATTGTGAAATGAAGTGTCTTTAATTTAATTTGATATATTATAAAGATTTGATGATGAATTTAAAGATTAAAATGAATATATAAATATTATTAAGAATCATTAAAATTAAACTTATTTATCTTTATTAATTACTACATATTTAATTTAAATTTTTATATTATAAAATAAATGAAGTATAAAATAAACTTGAAAAATAAATTTTATAGTTCATTATAGTTCATTTTAAAATTATATTTATATAATAATTATTATAATTTTTTATTGATTTATTTTACAATTAAAATACCAATATAAATAGATTAAAATATTAAGATAAAAGACAAGTATTATTATAAATCAATCAATATTAAAAAAAATATTTATTAATTTTAATAATTATTTTAATGTAAAAATAATGTAACATATAAATGTATAAATATTTATCTAGAAATTAATTATCTTATATTTTAATTAAATCTAATTATTTATAATAAATATATTGATAGTTATATATTTTTTTATAATATATTTTTTATTTTACCATATAAAACTTATATTAATAATTAAAATTTTATAATTATAATTACTAAAATTTTAAGTTTGAATTTTGAATAAATTTATTTTAATTAATTATATTGTTTAAATTAAATGAAATTATTTTTATAATATTTTTAATTTATTATATTAAAATAGTTATGAAGTTGAAAAAAAAAATGTAACCACCTTTTTTTTTATATATGCTCTCTCAAATTTTGTCCAAGATATCCAAACAGGGCATAAGAGAATATGCGTTGATCAAGACACGCACGCAACGCGTCAACTAAGCGCTAAGCTATGTCGCAGAGCAAGAGGCATTATCCGTACACAGGACATGCGTTTATTTTTCATTGGCCAATACCCTATACTGGTGGCACAGCAGATTCCTCCCCGGGGTCAAAGCAAGGAAAAAAGCGCAACTCTGTGACCACGTGCTCCGCAGTCACATGAGGCACGATGGTTGCGCCACTCATCTGAGCCTCCAGCGACTCATGATTCCATCACCACACTCCACCGTGGCTAACAAAATGGTGTCGTGACAGCCAATCAACACGCGCCATGCCCCACAATCACAGTCACCGGCGGGAGAGTGAGAAAGCTTGCAAAACACGATTCTCGTTTTCACTACAAAACCACACTCACTCTCTTTCTCTTCGCTTTTTCTCCCAGTTCCTAAATCCTCCTTAAACCCTAACACACTTCTCTCTCTCTCTATCTCAATCTCACTCTTATGATTAATGGAAGACCAAGCGCGCGATGCACTACCACCTGGTTACCGGTTCTACCCGTCCGAGGAGGTGCTCCTCCGCTATTACTTAACCAAGAAAAACGAGAACCGGGAGGGGGGTTTCAAAGGTTCTGATTTGATCAAGGAACTGGACCTGTACGATCACGACCCCTTCGAATTACCAGAAGTTGCGTGCTTTCCGTATGGTTACGGAGGGAGGAAGAAACATTGGTTCTGTTACACCGTTAAAGAGACCAAACGCGGAAGCAGAAAGGTTAAAAGCGGGTTCTGGCTGCGGAAGGGAAGGATTCGGGATATTCGCGATAACGGTGGGATTGGGAACGCTGTTTTGGGCACGAGGTCGCGTTTCGTTTTCTATGTCGGGAATTCGCTGAAAAACGCTACCAAAACGGATTGGATTTTGTACGAGTATGCATTGGTTGACCAAATTCTGGTACGGAGTCACGTTTAATTCAAATTACACGGATTCCTGAAATAGTTAGTGTGCCGTTGCACGAGCAATTAAAATTTACTTTAGCGAAAGCTATTAAAATTGTTTCAACACTTTAAATTTTGAACATGTAATCAATTCCTAAAAATAGAACTAAAAATGTGAATATTTACCTAAAACCAAGTTATAACGATACGTGAACGTGATTCTGTATCATCCAAGGTGATCCCAAACAAGGTATTAATTAATGTTTAACGAATTTGATTTTTTGCGTGCAGGCGTCGTTCGTGCTTTGTCGTGTGGTGAATAAGCCTCATCATAAGAATAGTCCATCAGAGATTGGTCTCAGTTGTTGTGCTGAAGAGAGTGCCGCGGTGGCTGTGCGTCACGTTGGTGTTCAGCATGATGGATGTATCGGAGGTGATGTTGAAGGTAAGGTGTGTGATGATGGTTTTGTTAATAGAGAGGCTGAGGCTGCTGAGAATCCAATTAGGTGTGGTGGTGAACATGATGATAATGCTGCACCTGTTTCAGTTGCTCAGGGAAGTCAGCCGGTGAGAAATTTAACTCTGATTTAATCAGTTATCTTTTGTTTTCAGAAGACATGGCTTAGGAAGCTTACTATATATGTTAGAATGAGACATAAGAACATATCATATGGTTTTATTTCAAGGAGAAACTTAGATACAGTTTCTTAGGTGGTGTTGACATTGCTATTTATTCAGAAACTGGAGTTTGACCTCAGTTGTTGACCTTTTGAAATTTTTATGCAAACTTAGATTTTACGGACATGAAACTTCAACACCTGGAGTATCTATAGGACGGCATTTATGTTTGTCCTTTATTTTGTTTTTGGCGTATTGTAAAAATATAACGAAACATGAGGTTAAAAAGTGAAACTTTTTGGTTTTTATAGAGAATTGAACCATTCCACTTTGTATTATTATGTGTTCTGTCTCCATGTTAAATGGTGTACCTTGGTGAAATTTTTTTGTTACAGCTTGTTTGTGGTTTCATTTTTTTTTTAATCATGCAGCATCTATGTTTGACTTACTGCTGGGAAGGCTTTGTGTGTTGGTAGTTTTTGTGTGTGAAAGCCAGATAGTTCCATTGTATTCGTTTAAATTATTTTTGTTTTGCAGTTTTCAGTCGCAAACTTCTACATCAGGAGTAGTATGAAAAGTGTAGTCAGAGTTAGGACTATCAGTGCAGGGAGTCAGTAAAGTATTTGTTGCAACTGCTACATGTGACGGTTCTTTTCAGATTGCATTTGAATGCATATTTTACTAGTAATATAACTCTTTCTATTACATGTAACATCTTAAGCTTTAAAGTCTTGTGCACAGCGTGTCACTAAAACTACAAATGTGTCACTATGATCTTGGATACTGGGAAAACGTACACTGATTTTGTTTCATAGATGTTTATGTAAACATTGAGTTATCTACTCTTCTGAAGCTTGAAAACACATTCACTGGTTAACAGAAAGGTCTGCATGTGCCAATTGAATAGTTAACGTTGTTACTTGTTTTTCCATCATTGCTTAAATCATGTCCTATTTATTTATTCATTCATTCATTCAGTTTTAGCATATTCTCCATGGCACCTTTTTCTTTTCATAGTGGAGAATAGAATTTTTTTTCTAAAGTATTAAATTCTTTTGTTTGCTATTGTGGTAATCAGATTCATGAAAGGCCTTCTGGACTTCCCTGTGGCAGTTCATTGTTCGTTGAAGCTGTGACATCTCAGCAACAACTGCTGTCCATTCTAGAGGAAGATTTCATAGAATTGAATGATATTGCATGAACTGATTGGGTTTAGAGATAATGTGAAGTCTAATCCTGCTATCAGGAGTATTTATCACCTGAAACAATTGTATGCAGAATGGATAACTGACTCAGCTAAAGGAGAGAAAGATCCATGATATTGAGTAGCTATTGTTCCACTCAAATGAAGCACCATACTGTCAAATGGGATTGAGGCGAATTTCATGGAATGATCTCTTCGCATGCTAAGGTAGTTACTTTAGATCTTTGTATGTTACAACTCTTGAGCCCTACTTGAGGAAATATTCAGCAGATCTTCTTTGTTTTGGGCATGCAGATTTTTTTCCTCTGCCTACTGAATGGCAATTGGCTCCAGAGGGATAGAGTTAGAGTTAGATATTGGTATTGGTATTGGTAATTGGAATATGCAATTTACTCTAGTATGCCATGAGCAACTTCACCGTACTTCATGCTTTCATTGCAACCTTGAATGAACGACCTGTTCATATTTAAATTATATTAGCATTCCTGGGACATGCAGAATTTCCTATCTGCACTTTAGTAGCAGGACCTATGCATAACTGTCTGTGCTACTTTACTTTTCCTATCTTGTTCAAGAGGCCAATCAGATAATTCCAAATTGTAAGTGTTACAAAATATTGATGGTTATGAATGGCCTTAACTTTACTTCTGTGGTTAAGCTGACTAATACACGTTTACATGGTATTTATGCATGGATAAATTTCTCTATATTTATAGGAGAAAAAAAAGAAGTAAAAAAAAGTTTTTTTCTATAAAGTTAAAATTAGTTTATGTATTAGTTGATAAACAGCTATTGTAGAAGCTAATATGAGAAAGCTTTTATAAATTAGTTTATACATAAACTATGAAGAAACTTATTTCATTTTGTTATTTTCTTCCAAAAGTGTTGATAGAGAAGTTTACAAATTGGTACTGTGCAATCTGGTACAGTGTCATATATATAGTGATTTTTGACAATTGGTATCTGTAAATAACAATGATGCTTTTGCAGTTTCGTGTGGGCTGCCACTAGTGGTATCAAATTATGTTTGTGTATTTGGGTGAGGATTTACTCTTCTACTGCATTTTCATATGTATGTAACTGATTTCTATTTATTGCTACATGTGTGGTATAAATTCTGTTTTGAAATCCAATTGCATTCCCTTTTTTGGGCTAAAAGTTTGAGCTTCGCACTTAGAGGCATCGGAATCGGTTTAAACTCTACTTGATTTGTATGTGCAATGAAAAAGTTCTGAAAATTAGGTATCAATGATCATTTATCTATTGAATGTTGTTTTCTGCTGTGTCTATGACATTATGTGAGATCAATGCACGTTCAGTGAATTTAATATGGTCCCAGTTAAAATTCATGACTCTTTTTTAGTGGGTCTGACAAAATGTATACAATAATAAAGAATACCTATTTTGTAAATGTAAAGAGTGTGCTATTACCTGTATCTATATGGGAACTGTGCGCTTATATTTGTTGTGCTTTATGTGCATTTAATATAGTTACATTTGGAAGTTCATAGTATTTGGTTTGTGATGTTCTATTCTTTAACTTCAAGTCTCATTCAAAGATTTCATAAAGTTCATGGTTCCTGAGACCCGTATCTCCGTAAATATGATGTTATCAAAAAAATTAAGCATATATCATTAAGCTTTCAGTAAAGATGTAAAAAATTTGGGCATACTTTGAGTGTTGGACCAAGGAATTTAATTTTTGCAGCAGTTATACTTTCTTTTACCCAAAGCATGTGGCGTTGCGTGTGCCTGTCAAGTTTGGCACCACCTATGCAGAAATAACTTTTTGTTGGGTGGATCGACTTAATCCAAAAAGTAAAATCGTATGAACAGATTGATCAGCTTATTTACGTGAATAATGGCAATGGTAGCTTCATCCGTGACCCAGTGGAGCAATTCTAGTACTTGTGTAAGAGAGTTAGTTGAATGCAAGGTTGTAGTGGCTTCTATTTTCTTCTGCTTAAAGAACACTGCCAAAGTTGTTCACGGGTCCAAGGATGCAAAGATTTTGCAGTAACCCCCATTCCCCCAAAACAAAAAGTATTAGTTGTAGTAACGCACTAGGAAAAGCTTATAGATTGCCTGAATATTTTAGTTAAAACAAATGCTCTTATCTGATGCTTAGGATATATGTATATATATTGTTTGAGTCGCGTCTGGCTTATGTTTCCCAAGAAAGCCAACAAATAAGGGTGGTTGCCTCGTATTTTCAGGAACTTGTGCCCGTCTTATATTTTTAGTCAAGAAAATTAGCTGGCCTCATAACTCTCTATTTTTTGGGATCATCCTCGCATGTCATTTCGTTTTTCTTATTTCAAGTGTTGTCTAGAGGCATTGCATTTTAACGTTAAAATTATCAATAATAAGCAGTGCCAAGTGATACTTCAACAACTAGGAAACAAACAACCCTCTAAACAATTTATTTTTATTAATATAATAATTATAACACAATTTAGTAAATAAAAATTATTATTATTATTATTATGATATTAAAAGTGAGTTGTTTTTAAAAATAGTATGTTTTGGATTGTCAGATATGAAATGTCGAGTTAAAAGCTTTTTAAAAGAAAGTTTTATTTGAAAAAAAAATAGTAACAAAAAGTATCATAAAGCTCTTCAAAAGTAGCGAGTTTTATATTTGGTTACAAATTTTGGAGAAGCAAATGTTCCAGGCGCACGAGTAATGTAATTAAAATACAGAGTATCATTTTTTTTTTGGTAAGATCTCTACAAGTAACTTGTGCAATATAAATACAATGGTTATTAAGAGTTATTTTTGGGGTTACAAATACGTTGTGGGTAATTTAATATTTTATGATTTATGAAATAGGTTAAGCCAAAACTTTTTAATAATTTAGTTAAAAAGATTAAATGTCATATAAAAAATGTTAGGCTTAATAAGTATTTTTTATTTAAATAAATATACATAATGCAATCATAAAATTATTACATAATGTAATAATTTTTTTAATGCAATCCTATGAGATTATATAGTTGTTAAATTAAATGCTTAAGCATATTATTATTAGGTTGGCATCGATGAATTCTTAATTAAGATATTGTATTCTAGTAAAAATGATATAAATTAAGAGAAAATATCTTACTATAAGTTAGGCTAATTATTTTGTTTAAAGACTTTTTTTTAATATATTCATGAGTCTTATTTAAAAATATATAAAATAAACATAGGGTGCTTCTTTCGCTAATCTAAATTTTATTAAAACAATAATTGAAAAGTCTTAAAGATTTGGTTAAAAACAAATAAATTAGAATTAAGTATTTAATTCAGAAATCAGGTTAGATTCGTATCTTTTTTTTTCCTCTTCATTTAAACTATATTTATATTTTTTATTACAATTTGATGTATTGTGTGAAGTCTATATAAAAATATTATCATAATGAATATTTTTTTAAAAACTCTTCCTTGTTTCATCTTTCTTTTAGAGTAAAATTTATTTGTTCTCATCTATTTATATTAAATTGGTAATAGAGTTAGTTAGATATTGTAACGACTCTAGAAATCGTTAATATAATGATGTCTTTGCAAAATAGTTAATAAGTAAATAACAATATCTATATTACATTATATTACTGTAATTGTAATATAGACTGAAACTCTGGTTCATTGACAGAATCTCAAAACGTAGTAACATAATTTATTTATATAGATACAGGTAAAAGTACACAAAGTTATCCCACTGAACTATTCTTATTGTTCAGTAGTCACATCTTCACCTTTTAACTCCTGATTTACTCCTACATAAAAGTTATCATCGCAATCCCATTCACATGGAAAAATAGGGGTAAGTATTAAATCATTCGATATAATAAAACAGATATAGAAGTAATAATTACATATTATCATCAATTACAAATCATCAATACACTAAGTCGCTTTCCAGAAGTCTACTCTAACTATGCCCGAACTCAGAGGTTATCATCTGTGGGCAGATTGTGGTCGACACTCACAGTACCATTCTGACCACCCCTCCACACAGAGTGAGATTACTGACGCCCTTCATTACTCATTCTGGAATACCCCTCCGAGCGCGCCACCAGTCATCCCCCATTGACTTCTCACCACCTGATCTTGTAATCTACTTGACCCGACCAATCAGTGAAGTTTGGGACTTCATCCGAATCCTCCGACATAGTTAATACACTAATATACTTTGTACCACCCCAGGTACCATTCAAACACAACAACAATCATTCACATCTGTCGGATTCTGGACCACCTGTCCTTACGACTCATTCTGGTTAATAAATAATAGTACTTAACTGATTATGGGTACCAACCCTCCGACTCAGTCTAGCTAATACATAACATCTCATGACTGATTTTGGGCATCAGCCCTTGGGCTCATTCTGACCCACACACGTCACAACACACTGCTGATTCTTTAAAATTTCTAATTTCATTCTATATTTTAATTATTTTTCCTAACATACCTTTACTTTATTTCTAAAATTCCAATTATACCTTTAAACATTTTCTATTATTCCTTTTTCATCCCGAAATCATTAAATTACTATTTTCCCTTAATCTTTTCTTAAAATTCCATGTATGTCCTTAAATTATTTTACCCTTAGACATTTTCAAACATTCCTTCCATACATAAGAAGACACCACCAGTCCAGCTACTGACTGGGGTAGATACCCTCAATTTATAGGGTAGGTTACACACAAGTAACTTAAGTTTATCAATACAATTATCAACAATAAAAGAATGGGTAACACCTGAATCAAACAAAACTCGTAGAGGTATATTAGAGATAAAACACACACCTTGCACTAAATTTTTTGACCTTGATGCCTCTGCTCCTGACAAGGCAAACACCCGTCCTGCAGCTCTGGGTTTTGCCTCACTCCCCCTAGGTACTGATGATGCCCCAGCTGAGACTGTAACACTGGGATTTTGTGGGTAGTCTCTAGTCCTATGTCCTGGCCTCTAGTAAGTGTAGCAAATACCTGCTTGAGAAGTTTGGGAAAG